GGTAGGAAGAGTGGAGGATACTATCTGCCTTTTATCAGCAGCTTTACCCCTACTGCATATCTCATACAAATTAGCATAACAACATAAAATAACCGATTAGTGCAGAGCTTAGTAGAAATAAAATATGAATAAAAGTGTCATTAATGAAACCACACATTATCACCTCAAAAAACATTCTTGAAAGAGTCCATTTGCTTCAGTGTATGTAAAACACCTGTAGTGACACCACCCGTGTTTATAACAACTTTGTGCTGGAGACACCACCACTAGATGTCTGCTCACCTCAAATAAATGACCTCACAATGTAATGTTTGGTCAACAGAAGCCCTTTGTCCCTCAGTGGACCATATGGATTTCCTCTGGGGGCTTGGAGCACTCTTCACAGCTTCTGTTAAGTCTCCATGAATCCACCACTCCACCTCATACAAACAGACTTGGCATAGTGCTTTATCCTTAAAATATATTTATTTTATGTTTAAAACACATACATTGTGCTCTCACTTGTATCCTCACTTGTATCAGGTGCCCAATCACACCAAATGTAAACAGAGTATTAAAACTGAGAGAGATTGTCATTCCTGTGCAGTGCTGTCTCTGCTAGATCGGTATCCACACAGCCAGTAGAACATTGTGACGTTGTCCAAGGCCCCGTCCCAACGTGTTTCATCACAGCCCACATGACTTCATCAGGGGAATCATGATTGGACCGCACAATGATCTCTCTCTGGTATGGTAGGCTTTATATAAATGTACAGCCCTGTTGTAGTTTACATTCCTCTTCTACAGTTATGTGGAACAGTTATGCACACTCAGGAGGCAGTATGGCTTTTAGGCATGAGGTCAAGAAATTGGGAGAATAGCAACTATTAAACTTAGGGTGAACTCTGACCTTAATTTCCAGAGTTTAGAATTAATGCTCACACAAATGAAGGTGGGAAATAAAAACATTTCACAGCTATAGGTGCACAGTTACCATAATTTTAGATTGAATTTTAACATTCTTGCACTATCCAAATTGTAACAAGTTCTTTTTAAATAACTGTACCAGCTTTGAATTTAACCATTTCAATACTTTTACCCCCTTGCTGCCCAGTCCAAATTTGAGCTTTCAGCGTTGTCGCACTTTGAATAACAATTGTATGGTCACTGTACCCATGAAAAATTTTATAATTTTTCTCACACAAATAGAGGTTTCTTTTGGTGGTATTTAATCCCCACTGAGTTGTTTATTTTTTGCTAAATAAACAAACAAAAAAAAAAATGCGTTTTTGTTCGTTGCCATTATAAAATTTTGAAAATAAATAAAATTTCTTCATAAATATAGGTCAAAATGTATTCTGCTACATTTCTGTGGTGAAAATACCCCAAATTAGTGTATATTATTTAGCCTGTATGGAAGTTATAGAGACCACAAACCATGGTATATATATCTGACAATTGATGAATCCTGATGTCATGACGGCCCATCTAATTTCTTGAGGCCCCGAAAACACAGAGATAGTACAAATACCTCCCAAATTACCCATTTTTGGAAAAAAGACAGTCCAAGGTATGTATTAAGAGGCACGGGGAGTTTTTTGGAGGTTGACATTTTTTGCTAAAATTTTGTGGAAAATGTAGAAATTAAAAAAAAAACACAAGTTTTTTTTTTTTTTTGTACATATTGTCACCAGTCCAGTACAGCGTTATTATATAACTGGTGTGGGCTAATGACCCTCAGGCAGACATCTGCTAGCAGACGCTTTTGTTGGTCACCTTAATAAAATGACATTATTCTGCTTTTCCAAGAGGTGCATTTTATTACATATAAAAGCTGCATAGATATTTATTCGCATCAAAAAGTACCTGTAGAAAAATTACCAAACTTGTAAAATAATATAAAAAGCAAAATATTTCCAATGACATTGAAAGCTACCACTGAACCTGTGTCCTAATGCAATGAGGCAGGGGAAGCATGTACATTACCACTTTGAAGACCAATACCAGGAGCCAACCCCCACATCGGGAGACTGGAAAGTGTGAGCATTGACAGGTATGTAAGCAGGTTAGAACTAGTTCGTCAGGTGCTGTCCCAGATGGGAGGCCTGGGATTAACATAGTTCCCTGGTTGTTGGTTTTGGCGGGATCTTTGCGTCTGACCCACTGCTCCTGTGAGTATGAAAAGGGACAGTGGTCCAGAGACCGAAGGTTTTTTTCTGAGGTCTAGCTCTTGGTCCTTGAGGATCAGAGTCCCCTGCTGTGGCCCGTCCTAAGGTAGAGTATTCCCTGATTTCAACCTCAGCCTTTTTCCAGGGCATTGTGGAAAACGGCACTAAAGCAAATGTACCCCATGCCTGTGAAGTAAAGTAGAGTGACCTTGTCTCAGATGCCTAGCGTAGATCAGATGAAACCCCCCCCCCCCCCTTCCCCGGGATATGCCTCTCATGTTTCCCAGACTTGGCACCTGACGAGTTAATTGGAAAACAAGGAGGACATGACAACCACAACACTACCCCTACAGGTATGTGCAAAATGACTCGTTCCATGGTGCTGGGTACAGCCTTTATCAAGTTGGAATAGTAGGCTGCTCTTTCGGCAGTGATGAGATATCATAACTTTCACGTGTTGTATAAGGTGAAATAAAAGGAATATGATCTTCATCTTGTCAGGATCAGCATTACCTTTGTATCTTGGTGAACCTTATAACGCTGAAATGTTTATAGAAGGTTACAAAGTGTCAATGCATTTTACAAGAAGACAATTTAATTCTACAGAAGCTTGTGAACAGGCAGGTAGGTGTATTTTATTGCAGAAGAACATTGCATATCTCGTCTACAACAAAGAGCCTGTCCGTTTGCAATCTTTTTTTTTATTTGACTTTAGTTCCACTTTAAGTGCTTTAACACCTTTTGTTTCAGTCTTAACAGGTTTGGTATTGTAGTGTAGCCAAAACTTAAATAGAGCTGAGACAGATTGAAACTTCTGCAGGTTAATGGGAGGGGGGGGGGGGGGGGATTTCAGGGTAGATAGCATAGGAAGACATTGGGCGAGAACGTCCTAAAGAATTCCTAAAAGTGGAAGAAATTGCACACACATGTACTTAATTTTTGCAACCAGTAGTCCCAGATTTTATTGTATTTAGATAGGCACCCTCTATGAAGGTAGATACATTTTTTATATGATAGAGTAGCATTAACTTCTGAGAGCCAGGCCTAGAACGTGGGAGGAACAGCTTACAACAACCCTATCAGTTTCTTTGCTGTGGATAAGGTTTCCTGTAGAGATATAGTCATAGATTTGCTTTCGGGTCAGGAAATGCCCTAATGTTTGTGGTTCAAAGAAAGGGGAGAAGCCATAGTGTCATGGAGGAACCTCACAATTTGAATCCCTGGATTACCCCCATTGTGAGTTGCTGTTTTGGCACTGTTGGGGCTAACATGCTGGGGTGTCTGCTGTTTGGTATGTGAAGCGCCCCATAGTTGGGATTTTTAAACAGGAGGGAGTGGGTCCCCTGAGCTCTTCTTTGGAGATTGTTTATGGTCCTTCTCAGTCCCATGACTACAGAGATGTAGTGAACACTAAAATAGGTTTCCCCTTTAGTGAGACCCTGAACCAGGATTGTAGAGAGTGAGCCACTTGATAGAAATGTATGCAAGCCAAAAGGTATAAGACACTACAGTATAGCCCTAAAGACTTTGTCCTATGTTAAAAAGAATGCTGTTGCTCCATTAACTTGTTGCCATACCAAGCGGATGTTGTAACCAACTGTATGAAGAAAATTGTATCATAATGCAACATAATGCAACCATTTATTCAGTAAACAGGGTTGCTGGTTAAATTAATTATCCGGTCTGATTTACTGAGAGTTGAAATGAGAGTGAAATCCTACAGTGTATGGGAATGGGTAAAGAAGTATTTGCCTACATGTAACTTTCTGAGTATTGGAGAGAGAGGAGAAATAAAAGTAGAAAAAGCATCCAGCTTGGGAGAGGATACAGTGGAGGCTAGTGACAGAGGTTCTGTTAGAGAGGTGGATTGGAGGCTGTATGGTCTACCCTTCTAGCGGCAGGAACCCTCAGTTAGGGCCCACTGCAGAGCAGAATGTACGGATTGGGCCTGGACCATGAATGTGCAGGACCTCAGGAAGTTACAGCAGTTTCCCTTCATGCCTTCAGGTTGAAGAGTAAAACCACAAAGCGCAACACGTGTACAGAACTGGTGGAGGCAAATCAGTGTTTTATGCCATCTTCCTCAAAATGATTTTGTAAACAGGTGTCACTAACAAGTGATAAAACGTGATACTTCTGTGTGTGGGGCCCAGTGAATCAGTTTGGCCTTCAGCCATGAGGGGCACTAACTCACACAATAAATAAGGGATGACAAACACTTGAGTAATTATTAAATCCTGACATGTATTTCCCTATATATATATATATATATATATATATATATATATATATACACACACACACACACTATATTGCCAAATGTATTGGGACACCTGCCTTTACAGCCATGAACTTTAATGCAACCCAGTCTTAGTCCGTAGGGTTCAATATTCAGTTGGCCCACCCTTTGCAGCTATAACAGCCTCAACTCTTCTGGGAAGGCTGTTCACAAGGTTTAAAAGTCTGTCTATGGGAAGGTTTGACCATTCTTCCAGAAGCACATTTGTGAAGTCAGGCACTGATGTCAAACGAGAAGGCCTGGCTCGCAGTCTCCGCTCTAATTCATCCCAAAGGTGTTCTATCGGGTTGAGGCTAGGACTTGCAGGCCAGTCAAGTTCTTCACCCCAAACTCACTCATCCATGTCTTTATGGACTTTTCTTTGTGCACTGGTGTGCAGTCTTGTTGGAACAGGAAGGGGCCATACCCAAACTGTTCCCACAAAGTTGAGAGCATGAAATTGTCCAAAATGTCTTAGTTCTAGTGAAGGGAACTCTTGAGGTGTCAGCATACTAAGGGGCCAAGCACAACCCCTGAAAAACAACCCCACACCATAATCCCCCCTCCACCAAACTTTACACTTGGCACAATGCAGTCAAGCAAGTACCGTTCTCCTGGCAACCGCCAAACCCAGACACGTCCATCGGATTGCCAGACAGAGAAGCTAATTTGTCACTCCAGAGAACACGTGTCCACTGCTCTAGAGTCCAATGGTGGCATGTTTTACACCACCGCATCCGAAGCTTTGCATTGCACTTGGTAATGAAAGGCTTGGATACAACTGCTCGGCCATGAAAATCCATTCCATGAAGCTCTCTACGCAGTGTTGTTGTGCTAATCTGAAGGCCACACAAAGTTTGGAGGTCCTTAGCTATTGACTCTGCAGACAGTTGGTGACTTCTGCACACTTCAGCATGCACTGACCCCACTCTGTCATTTTATGTTTAAGTTGCTGTTGTTCCCAGTTGCTTTCATTTTATAATAATACCACTAACAGTTGAATATTTAGTAGCAAGGAAATGTCACGGATGGACTTATTGCACAGGTGGCAACCTATCACGGTACCACGCTTGAATTCACTAAGCTCGTGCGAGCGACCCATTCTTTCACAAATGTTTGTAGAAGCAGTGTGCATGCCTAGGTGCTTTATTTTATACACCTGTGTCCATGCAAGTGATTGGAACACCTGAATCCAATGATTTGGAGGGGGGTCCCAATACTTTTGGCAATATAGTTTATGTACTATTTTGACAAAAATACCTGTTTACATTGTAGATAAAATATTCTCTCCAGCTTCTGAAGAAGTTTACAAAATATGTAAAGTTCAGCCCCACACCTGCATTCATTGGATATTATGTTAATGTTGGTGTTTATTGGGTTATGGAGGGGTTTTTTTGTGTTATCAATGGTGTACTGCGGTATTGTTTCAGCCTTCCATTGTTTATCTGAAAAAAATATGTTCTTTCTTTTTAAGTGTTATCTCATGCTCAGAAAAGATTCAAGTAAGCTTGATATCCTAAGGAGGGAGTAGGCTTTTTTGCCAGGTGGCTGCCAAACATTTGGGTAGAGGACACCTCCAAAAACAGCCTTAGCAAGAATGCTGTTTTGGTAACTTCATATGACCAGATCTTGTGTTGGAGCAAATCTACATCTGCATTTATTTCACAGAGAAGTTTTTCAGAACTTTAAACTACAACTGGAATCATCTGCAAACAACCTCTATACTCATCATGGGATATATGGTTTCAAATAAATACTCCATCTTTAGTGGTGGCCATACACGCTTCAATAAATGATCAATTATTTTTAAAGTCGATCTACTGGATAATAGGAATAATACATCTATAGTGGTCAGCCCTTTTGATGGATATGCCACACACAGTGAAGTGGATTTTGATCTACAGTTAAGATGCTACGACAATGTTTGTTCGTACATTATTGATTACACCTCTGTATTCACCATGTAATCTAATAATCTGGGTGATTGCAATACATTCATATTTATGATCAAAGTATCAATGAGTTTAATGAAGTTGTAGGTAGGTTGCCTACTGTATTTAGTTAGCAGCTCGGCTGCCCATGCAGGGAGAAGGGGTTAATGCTTTCTTGCCTTCTCTGGGCAAGTTTGTGGGCTTTCTGGGGTCCGGCCTCTTTTCCCCGTGGATTATAAAAGAGGAGAGGTTTGGGTCCCTGGGGAAGCAGGAAACGGGAACTATTAAAGAAGGTTTCAGGGATCTATGGTCCACCCCAGGAATGCTGATTTGTCGGGACACCGTAATGATGGATATTGCCACTCTGAATCTGCCAACTATGGACTTCACCCACAAGTACTTTTCCTGTGCAGGTATGCTGGGGCAGCCACAGTTAGGCTTAGTTATTAATTATCATACCAAGTTTACAGTAAAGACTTGAAATGTTGTCCTGCCTGGGGTGTATGAAAGCAACCGGCACTTTGCACATCATCTGCAGCTTGGGTCAGTAAAGCACATTAGTGTATGAAGACATCTCTACAGAGTTAAAATGGTACGGAGTAAAACAAGTGGTTGCCAAGGATAACAGAGGTCTAGAACCAGCATGTCATGAAGAGTGATACCTGTGCTAGGCAAGGCATACTCTTGTAGCGAGGGGGTTGCCTCTTGGACTCCCTCCCCTAGCGGTTTGTCTCCCATAGCAATGGGAGCAGATCGGCATCACAGAGACCCTCCACCTACCTGCCAGGTACGGGAGAGTAAGAAGACATATTGCACACATGAGGTGTGCAGAGGGACCCCATTCTGTCACTAGGAGTGAGTTATTATTATACAGGATTTATATAGCGCCAATGGTTTGCTCAGCGCTTTACAATATAGTAGGAGACAATACAGTAACAATACAGTTCAATACAAGAGGGATTTGAGGGCCCTGCTCCTTGGAGTTTACAATCTAGGAGGGAGGGGTGAATGGTACAATAGGTAATAACTGTGGGGGATGGAGTGGTTGGAAGAATAGAGGATTCCAGTATTAGCAGAGGGCGGGATAGGCTTCCCTGAAGAGATAGGTTTTCAGTGATTGCCTAAAAGTAAGTAGAGTAGGCAACAGTCTGATAGATTGGGGTAGGGAGTCCCAGAGGTTGGGTGACGCCCTGGAAAAGTCTTGTAGACGAGCATGGGAGGAGGAGATGAGGGAGCTAGAGAGTAGGAAGTCTTGCGAGGAGCGGAGAGTACGGTTTGGGTGATACTTAGAGATCAGATCGGTTATGTAAGTTGGGGCAGTGTTGTGGATGGCTTTATATGTCATTGTTAGCGTTTTGAATTTTATCCGTTGGGCAACTGGGAGCAAGTGGAGGGATTGGCAGAGAGGGGTGGCAGATACAGAACGGTTAGTAAGGTGGATGAGTCTGGCAGCAGTGTTCATGATAGACCGGTGTGGGGATAGCCTGCAATGAGGTTGTCAGGAATGGACTTGCCAATAGTGGTGGGACTCACCTGCCTTGTGGGCTGCAGTACCAGGGCTGGCCAGCGGGTGCTCTCAACAACCAGAGGTTCACTTCGGCAATTAGCCATCACCTGGGGCTGATTGCAGGTGGTGTATTTAAGGGATGGCCAGACCTGCAGTCTGTGCCTTGGTGTGTGTTTTTCCATGGGCCCCTGTATCTTGTAACCTGCATTCCTGTTCCTGTTCCTGCCTGACTTGTTGCCGACCCTGCCTGATCCTGACCTCTGCTGACTTCTCCTGTTTGATCCCTGGCTTGTGACCCTGACCATTATCTCTGCCTGCTCCTCCTGTACCTACCTGCCCGATAGTTATCGACCCGGCCTGCCTGACTACGTTGTGCTCTATATGTGTATGTACCTGTGTATCTATATCAATTTAGGTTTGGGTTTGTTTCACCTTGTTGTATGTATTTGTGTTAGCTTGGGGTTTGGTGCACTGCGTTTATATTTGTATTGTTAGTCTTAATAAATTGTCTTATTTATACCATATCTGAAGCCTGCGTTTCCCTGTCAGTCCACACACTTCTGGTCACACCCGCATCCCTGACATTACACCAAGGCCAATCCTGACCAGAAGTGGCTGCACAGGGAAGCCATGTTGGCTTATTGTTGCTGGGAAGGATGGATCTTGATGAGGTTGTGTATTTATCTCTGCTAGTGTTTGATGACAGGGATTATGCTTATCAGACTCTGAAGGAGTATCCCAGGGATCAACTACTAGGGTGCATAAGGATCGCTCATTGCCTAGTAGATCAGGGCACAGAATTCTCTGAGGTGCAGCCATTGATTCAGGTTTGTGCTGAGTTGGTTTCATCTGGTACCCCCGAATGCAGGGATGAATTTTTGCCGCCATTTAGTGCCGACCAGGTAGAGTCCCTGGTATGGTTATTAGAGGATGATGTGGATTACTTTCTGGAGCGTTATTCTGCATATTCACAACAGGTACTAAGAGATTGTATAAACGCAGTGCAGTCTTTGACCAGACAGGCTTTGTGTAAGCTGAGCTTTGTTCAACCCATACTGCAGACATGGTCAGACTTGTTGCACCCAGCCTCAGTCAGCTTACAACGTCATTCCTCCACTCAAGGCACTCTTCCTGCATCCCCGACAGCACCCCCAGTGACGGCCCAGTATACTCTGCTAACTACCACATATCAGTCCTCTGCTCCCACTCGCTGCACCTATCCTTTGTTTAACCCTGTAAAGAAGTCCTCTGTAGCAACTGCTCCCTCCTCTGTTCCATCCTCCAGCTCTTCTCTGTCCTCAGATGCTCCATCCATTTACAAACCTGCGCTTACTTACAGTGCTCCGGTAACTAAAACCAGGAAAAGGCGAAAATTCTTTCCAACCAATACCATCCTGCCAGTATCCAAACCGGTCAGCCTGCCATCTGAGAACCCACCTTCCATGGTGCAGCCTGGTGCCTCGGCACCCACAATTCAGCCTGACCCAGCCTGATGTCTCTACCCAGCCTGATGTCTCTACCCAGCCTGATGTCCTTACCCAGCCTAATGTCCTTACCCAGCCTGATGTCCTTACCCAGCCTGATGTCTCTACCCAGCCTGATGAAGTGATCCAGCCTGATGATCCTATTATGCCAGATGACTCGATGCCGGCTGTTCCGCCAGTTGACTCGGTGCCCCCGGTCTTGCCAGACGACTCGGTGCCCGCAGTCTTGCCAGACGACTCGAAGCCCGCAGTCTTGCCAGACGACTCGGTGCCCGCAGTCTTGCCAGACGACTCGGTGCCCGCAGTCTTGCCAGACGACTCGTGCCTGCAGTCTTGCCAGACGACTCGATGCCCACTGTTCCACCAGTTGACTCGGTGCCCGCAGTCTTGCCAGACGACTCGATGCCCACTGTTCCGCCAGTTGACTCGGTGCCTGCAGTCTTGCCAGACGACTCGGTGCCCGCTGTTCTGCCACTTGACTCGGAGCCCGCGGTCTTGCCAGATGACTCGGTACCCGCAGTCTTGCCAGACGACTCGGTGCCCGCAGTCTTGCCAGACAACTCGATGCCCGCTGTTCTGCCAGTTGACTCGGTGCCCGCAGTCTTGCCAGACAACTCGGTGTCTTGCCAGACGATCCAACGCCTGATGACCCAGTGCCCGCTGTCATGGCTGGTGACCCGATGCCCGCTGTCGTGCCTGATGACTTGATGCCTGCTGTCGTGCCAGACGATCCAATGCCTGATGACCCAGTGCCCGCTGTCATACCTGGTGACCCGATGCCCGCTGTCGTGCCAGTTGACTCAGAGCCAGCTGTCACGCCTGGTGACTCGGTGCCCACTGCCTTGCCAGATGACTTGGTGCCCGCTGTCGAGCCAGATGACCTGATGCCTGGTGACCCGATGCCCGCTGTCGTGCCTGGTGACCCGATGCCCGCTGTTGAGCCAGATGACCTGGTGCCCGCGGTCGAGCAAGACGATCCAATGTCTGATGACCCGGTGGCCGCTGTTGTACCTGGTGACCCGATGCCCGCTGTCGAGTCAGATGGCCCGGTGCCCCGCCGCTCCATCTGGGGGCCCGGTGCCCGCAGCTCCGCCTGGGGGCCCGGTGCCTGCCGCCCTGCCTGGGGGCCCGGTGCCTGCTGTTCCGCCTGGTGGCCGGGTGCCTGCTGCTCCACCTGGTGGCCCGGTGCCTGCTGCTGCGCCTGGTGGCCCGGTGCCTGCTGCTCCGCCTGGTGGCCCGGTGCCTGCTGCTCCGCCTGGTGGCCCGGTGCCTGCTGCTCCGCCTGGTGGCCCAGTGCCTGCTGCCCTGCCTGGTGGCCCGGTGCCCGCCGCCCTGCCTGGGGGCCCGGTGCCTGCCGCCCTGCCTGGTGGCCCGGTGCCCGCTGCTCCGCCTGGTGGCCTGGTGCCCGCTGCTCCGCCTGGTGATCCGGCATCTAGCCTGATGTGCCTCCGTCCGGTGCCCAGCCCGACGTGCCTCCATCCGGTGCCCCAGCCGGCGTGCCTCCTTCCGGTGTCCAACCCGAAGTGCCTCCGTCCGGTGTCCAGCCCGAAGTGCCTCCGTCCGGTGTCCAGCCCGAAGTGCCTCCGTCCGGTGTTCAGCCCGAAGTGCCTCCGTCCGGTGTTCAGCCCGAAGTGCCTCCGTCCGGTGTCCAGCCCGAAGTGCCTCCGTCCGGTGCCCAGCCCGAAGTGCCTCCGTCCGGTGCCCAGCCCAAGTGCCAGTCACCGGACCCGGGCGGTGGAACATTTTGCCCAGCTAGGACTGTTTGGAGCGTCCTGAGGCCGCTCCTTGAGGGGGGGGGGTACTGTCAGGAATGGACTTGCCAATAGTGGTGGGACTCACCTGCCTTGTGGGCTGCAGTACCAGGGCTGGCCAGCGGGTGCTCTCAACAACCAGAGGTTCACTTCGGCAATTAGCCATCACCTGGGGCTGATTGCAGGTGGTGTATTTAAGGGATGGCCAGACCTGCAGTCTGTGCCTTGGTGTGTGTTTTTTTCCATGGGCCCCTGTATCTTGTAACCTGCATTCCTGTTCCTGTTCCTGCCTGACTTGTTGCCGACCCTGCCCTCTGCTGACTTCTCCTGTTTGATCCCTGGCTTGTGACCCTGACCATTCTCTCTGCCTGCTCCTCCTGTACCTACCTGCCCGATAGTTATCGACTCGGCCTGCCTGACTATGTTGTGCTCTATATGTGTATGTACCTGTGTATCTATATCAGTTTAGGTTTGGGTTTGTTTCACCTTGTTGTATGTATTTGTGTTAGCTTGGGGTTTGGTGCACTGAGTTTATATTTGTATTGTTAGTCTTAATAAATTGTCTTATTTATACCATATCTGAAGCCTGTATTTCCCTGTCAGTCCACACACTTCTGGTCACACCCGCATCCCTGACAGAGGTAGACCAGTGAGGAGGGAGTTACAATAGTCGAGGCGTGATATAACAAAGGAGTGAATAAGTAGTTTAGTGGTTTCCGGGGTTAGGAACGGTCGTATCTTGGAGATGTTGTTGAAGGTGTAGTCTACATGATTTAATCAGCAATTGGACCTGGGGCTGGAAGGACACTTGGAAGTCTAGGATTACACCTAGTACCCTGGCATGAGGGGATGGACTGATGATTGTGTTACCGATATTTATGGTGAAGTTAGTCGTGGTGGCACGGGCAGGGGGGAGTACTAGGAGCTCAGTTTTGGAAAGGTTGAGTTTGAGGAAGTGGAGTGACATCCAAGCCGATATGTCACTTAGTAGGCTAGGGATGCGAGTGGAGACTGATGGGGTGAGGTGAGGGGTAGACAGAGAGATTTGCGCGTCATCAGCATAGAGATGGTACTTGAAGCCGTGGGAGTTTATCAAGTGACCAAGGGAGGAGGTGTAGATGGAGACGAGAAGGGGTCCAAGGACAGAACCTTGAGGGACCCCTACAGAGAGAGGGAGTGAAGAGGAGGTAGCAGCGTTATAGGTAACACTGAAGGAGCGCTGCGATAGGTGGGAGGAGGACCAGGAGAGAGCGGAGTCTCTGAGGCCAAGAGAGTGTAGTTTTTTGAGGAGGAGGGGATGGTCGACCGTGTCAAAAGCCACAGAAAGGTCAAGTAGTAGGAGTATTGAATAGTGGCCGTTGGTTTTAGCAGTTAGTAGATCATTAGCAAGTTTTAGTAGGGCAGTTTCAGTGGAGTGTAGGGGGCGAAAGCCAGACTGTAAAGGGTCGAGAAGGTTGTTGTCGGTGAGGTGGGAGCTCAGATGATTGTAGACTAAGCATTCTAGTAGTTTAGAGGTAAATGGCAGCAAGGAGATGGGTCTTAAGTTGTTCAGGTTGGTGGGGTCAAGGGAGGGTTTTTTAAGTATGGGTGTGATGTGCGCGTGCTTTAGAGGGGAGGGGAAGGCACTTGTAGAGAGGGAAAGATTGAAGATGTGGGTGAGGGAGCATAGAATGGAGGAGGAGGGTGACTGAAGGAGTTGAGAGGGGACAGGGTCCAGGGGGCAGGTGGTGAGGCAGGCTTCTGAGAAGACCTTAGTGACCTCTTCGGTGGTAGCGAGGTCAAAGGAGGAAAGTGTTGAGAGAGGTATGGAATGAGGAATGCTAGGTGGGGGTGGGTGTCTGTGTAGTGGTGATGTCCCTACGAATTGCGTCAATCTTGTTTTTGAAGTGGTTTGCAATATCGTGGGCAGTGAGTTAGGCGCTGGGTGGCGGTGGAGGCAGAGAAAGTAGAGAGTTAAAACTAGAGAAGAGCCGACGAGGACTGGAAGAGAAGGTATTAACCACTTGCCTACCGGGCACTTATACCCCCTTATGTACCAGGCCAATTTTCAGCTTTCAGCGCTGTCGCACTTTGACTGACAATTGCGCGGTCATGCAAGATTGTACCCATATGAAATTTTTATCATTTTTTTCTCACAAATAGAGCTTTCTTTTGGTGGTATTTAATCGCTGCTGGGCACTTTACTTTTTGTGCTATAAGCAAAAAAAATTGCAAAAAAATTTGAAAAAAAAAAAAGTTTCTTTGTTTCTATTATAAAATTTTTCAAACAGTAATTTTTCTCCTTCACTGATGTGCGTTGATGAGGCAGCACTGATGGGCACTGATAGGCGGCACTGATGGGCGGCACTGATAGGCAGCACTAATGAGGTGGCACGGATAGGCTGCACTGATAGGCAGCACTAATGAGGTGTCACAGATAGGTGGCACTGATATGCGGCACTGATTGGTGGCACTGATAGGTGACACTGATAATGGGTACTGATAGACAGCACTGATAGGTGGCACTGACATCACTGCTGGGCACTGACTGGCGGCACTGACTGGCAGCACTGCTGGGCTGCACTGATGGGTGGCACTGGTGGGCACAGGTGGGTGGAACTGGTGGGCACAGGTGGGTGGCACTGGTGGGCACAGGTGGGTGGGCAAGGTGGGTGGCACTACTGGGCACAGGTGGGTGGGCACAGATGGGTGGCACTGCTGGGCACAGGTGGGTAGCACTGCTGGGCACAGGTGGGTGCATTGCTGGGCACAGGTGAGCGCACTGCTGGGCCACAGATGGGCGGAACTTGTGTGTGGCACTGCTGGGCACCGATCATCAGGGCACTGATGATCAGTGATCCTGATGATCGGTGTCGATCCCCGCTCTGACAACTGCCGGTTTTCAGCAGCACTTTCCTCCCACTCTGACAGCGTGAGGAAAGTGCAGCCGAGAACCGGCATTTGCATTTCCCGGTGATCAGCGTGTCATTGGACACGGCTGATCACGTGGTAAAAGGCCGCTGTGATTGGCCTTTTACCACGTCACGTGATCAGCTGTGTCCGTAGGACACAGCGATCACGGAGATCGCCGGGTGCGCGCGCCCCGAAGGCGCGCAGGAGAGCGTGTTCTGGGAGGACGTCATATGACGTCCACCCAGAACTGGCCAGCCGCAGTGCAACCGTCATTCGGCTATCTGCGGTCGGCAGATAGTTAATGAGAGTGACAAAGTAGGCTTGTTTGGCAGCGAGAAGGGAGGGAGTGTATGTTAGGAGGGCAGATTTGTAAAGGGTGAACGTTTGATGGGATTTGGTTTTACGGCCAATCGCTCCAGCGCGCGACTGTGTCGTTTGAGATTTCGGGTGTGGTCAGTCTGCCAAGGTTGTAGCGGTCGGGGCCTGATGCTTCATGTAGTTAGGGGAGCGAGAGAGTCTAAAGCGGATGAAAGCAAGTTGCAGGCCAGGTCAGGGCAGGACAGGGGATTGATGCTGTCGTAGAGTTCAGTTGCAGAGAGGAAGGGAGCCGGGTTCAAGTTTTGGAGATTTCTGCTGGTAGTTGTTTGCTGTTTGGTGGGATAGGTGTTAGAGGACGAGGAGACTGTGAAGGTGATGAGATTTGATCCGAGAGGGGAAAGGGGTGTTTGTGAGGTTATAGGGAGAACAATGGTGAGAGAAGACAAGGTCTAAGGTATTCCCGTCGAAGTGAGTGGAGGACTGTATACACTGTGCTAGTTCAAAAGAAGAGGTTAAGTGGAAGAGTTGGGATGTAGCCGGGTTATTGACGTTAATAGGGATGTTGAAGTCTCCAAGGATAATAGTGGGTAAGTCAGAGGAAAGAAAGTAGGGTAGCCATGCAGCTAAGTCGTCAAGAAAGCAGGACACGGGTCCAGGAGGCTGATAGATCACTGCAATCCTCAGAGAGATCGGGGAGAACAGCCAGATGCAGTGGGTCTCAAAAGAAGAGAGGGAGGGCTAGGGAAGACTTGGAAGGTGCTCAGTGGTGACAGAATTAAACCAACCCCGCCTCCTTTCCGACCACTGGATCTGGGTGAGTGGGTCAGGATGAGGCCTCCATAGGAGAGTGCTGGCGGGGGAAACAGAATCTGTTGCTTGGAGCCAGGTTTCGGTGAGTGGTAGGAGGTTAAGGGAGCGGGAGACGAAGAGGTCATGGATAGAGGTGAGCTTGTTGCAGACCGAGCAGGCGTTCCAGAGTGTACATGAAAACGGGAGGGTGGTTTTGGGGAGCAAGGGGACAGATATAAGATTGAGGGGATTGCAGTGATTCCCGGAAGAAAGAGAATGTCTTGTGTGTGTGCGAAGTAGTGGAGCACCAGGGTTCGGGGAGATATCCCCAGAGGTCAGGAGGAGAAAGGGGCAGACTGACATCTCATGTGGCCCCCGGGCAATAGGGGATCATGGGGCCTCTGTATCCTTGCCCAAGCTCAAAAAAGCCTATGAAAAAGGTACCAGGGGCATCTCCTGGGGCCCTCTACTGACCCCGGGCCCTCGGGCAGTGCCCGAGTTTCCAAATGGTCAGTCCGCCCCTGGGAGGAGAAGAAGGGTGAGGAAGGTGGCATGTGAGAGGGAAGTATACGAGCGTGCATGCCTTCCGGACCTGGTGTTAGGGTCAGCAGGAAAGTGAAGTATCAGCAGGAGGTGATGAGAGCAGTAGTAGGGAGATGGAAGCAGTGAGGGTGAGATGTACAAGTTTTTGAGTGGAGCAGAGGGACAAAGAAGTGAGGTTTTGGGAACGCAGGAAAGGAATATGAAGAGGAGGAGTAGAGGAGGCATTTAAAGGTGCATGGAGTGGGGAACAGGTATGGAGAGATGTTTCCCAGGGGCGTTTGATTGAAGTTTGTTTAGCATGCAGTAGAGTTTCTTGTTATAGTATCTTCCTGCAGCTAGAGATCTTCTCATGTGGTATCGGCTGGGCTGAATTCAGTGAGAGTCATATCAGAGTTACTAGGCGGGAGTCAAGATCCAGGTGGAAGTTCCAGATTGTACAATGAGGTTTGGTTTGAGAAGGAGAGGGATGGATGTCAGCTGTAGAATTTATGTCCCTTGAAGCCAATGGAGAGAAGCCTATGCGAGGGGAGCAGGGGAACCATACGCTGTTGATAGAGATATGCTGGACAAGTGGACCTAGCATAGGCCTATAGTGTCCCTCCTAAATGCAAACAATTACAGTGAAGGTGTGCATTGACTCAAGGCCAAAGAGTTTACTGGAGTCTAGTTTATTCACTCAATGTATGGCCATCTCTAAGTTATAGGACCACCTTAAGGTTGAATTTCCCCGAAAGCCTTGTCCTGGAGCATTGATGAGAGCAGTACAGAAAAGGTACCCCATGTGCAGGGTGAGTGACCCTGTCCACGGTGCCTAGCATAGCCCAGAAGAACTCAACCCCAGGGTGGAGATTTTGGTGTCACCCTACAATTTAGCATCCAACAAGGCATGCCCAAAAGCCCTCTACCCCTGCACAACAAACTGGAACTGGAATTGAAATGTGTGTGGCCACCATAATATCAAGCTCTAAATACCAAGTAATAAGAAGGTAGGTACTTTGTGTTATCATCCTTTTCAATGGATGCTCAGCACTGGTCACATGACTTTTGCCACACGTCACTTTTTAAATGTAAAAACATGCCCAGTAGCTGTGTGGTTAAAGTAGAACTATAGGGAAAAACTTATATAACCCATCTGATTTTTCTCTTTTGCCATCTTTGTCCCATTGTGGAGATTTCCCTTTACTTCCTGTCCCATAGACAAAGCAGGAAGTGAGTGGAGATCCCTGCAAATTAACGGAATTCCTTGGGAACCCCCAGGTCACCAGAACTAGTGTCCCCATTGGAAGATTTCCCCTCTATTACTTTTCTTGGGACAACCCAAAACATGTGGTTTCCTTTTACTTTCACTTTCAATGATAATAATAAACAGGACAAATAGAGAGGGTGGATCTCCCTAAAGGGGACACAGATAGCATGCAAGACCTAATAGGCGTTCTAATCCAGCTCCACTCTATCCAAACCTTTTTAAAAAGTTTTGCCCTTAGTTATGCTTTAAGAATGCCCCTCCCCCAATGTTCTACACGGCATCTTGGCACAACTTTTTCTTTATTTTGCACCAATAATAGGTTTTACTCTGTAGGAAGCGCCTGTATGAGCAAATATCATTTTATGTAAACGTGGTAACATCTGAGATAAAACTTGCAACTTGTATCTAATGGAACCTCAGCCATCCCTGACTAAGAGGCTCAACTGCAGGTCCATACACCACCACATCACCCCCAGCCAGCAGATGGCGCTAACTCATTTCTGAGAAACCACGGCTAGTAACACACATGCGGCAGTGTCTTCTCTCGCGAGAGTTCAGCTCTCCATTTTCTGTCTCTTTTGTACGGGTTTGCACAGCTGTGTGCGGTGTGTAGGCCGGCTCTCTGCCACCGGAGAGTATTGCTCGGTCACCGGGACCTCAGAGCTTCACAACAACGGCGCGGTGAGTGCCTGCTAATGCATGGAGTCGCTGCATTGTGTATTCTGGGGTTGTCGCGGCGTGGACATTGTTTAGAGGGTCACCCTTCGCTCTTCCTGTTTGTGCGCATGTGCGGTATTGTCAGCTGTGAGGCCCGGTGTGGGAGCTTTGTGAGAGGAATGATAGCGAAGGATCATTCTCTATGCTGGAGGGAGGAGATGAGGGGAGAACCTGATCGGTGAGGAGCAGATGGCCAACTTTAGTCCGATTAAAGCTGGGCATACACTGTACTTCACGTTTACCAAAACGATGTCCCAGGCAAAGCATTCAGTATATAGCCACTCAGGTGGGCCATGTAGTAGTGGTTCATGGTAAGTGTAAGGCAGTGGTGGTCAACTATTTTTATATGGAGGGCCTCAAGTGCTTTCCCTCCCCCCCCCCCCCCCCCCCCCCCACGTTACCAAAGGACCACAGACACGCGGACGGGGTCCAAGAGCAGGTCGGGGAGCGCGGACGGGGTGCGTGATCGCGTCGGGGGGAGCGCGGACGGGGTGCGTGATCGCGTCGGGGGGAGCGCGGACGGACGGGGTGCGTGGTCGCGTCGGGGGGAGCGCGGACGGGGTGCGTGGTCGCGTCGGGGGGAGCGCGGACGGGGTGCGTGGGTCGCGTCGGGGGGAGCGCGGGACGGAGTGCGTGGTCGCGTCGGGGGGAGCGCGGACTGGGTGCGTGGTCGCGTCGGGGGGAGCGCGGACGGGGGCGTGGTCGCGTCGGGGGGAGCGCGGACGGGGTGCGTGGTCGCGTCGGGGGGAGCGTGGACGGGGTGCGTGGGTCGCGGACGGGGTGCGTGGTCGCGTCGGGGGGAGCGCGGACGGGGTGCGTGGTCGCGTCGGGGGGAGCGCGGACGGGGTGCGTGGTCGCGGGGGGGGGGGGGGTGCGAGGGAGGGCCGGAGAGCGCTGTCAGGAGGTTTGCACCAATATCGGTATGGGTGCATGTACTAAGTATCTGCACAAGTACTTGTCCTGTAATCTATTTTTCATGAAATTGTCTCCTTATGTGTTTTTCTGCCTATTTGTAATATCCTCTGTGAGCTCCCAAACCTCTTCTTTTATTTGTAACTAATTTATTTTTGCACACTTGTGTTTGTTTATATCTCTCTCCTGCAAGAAGAAGGAGATACAATGGGATTGATTTACTAAAGGCAAATAGGCTGTGTACTGGAAGTGCAGATGCTTTAGAGTTGAGGGCAACATGCAAGAAAAAAAAACTGCATTTTTGCTTGCACATGATTGGATGACAGAAATCAGCAGAATTTTGCCTCATTTCAGAGCTTTTCTCAGATCTAAAGCAACTGCACTTGCAGTGCACAGTATATGTAAAGTGTTAATAAACCTGCAACAGTAAAATCAGTCTGTTTCTTGTGGTTACCTATGGGTTTCCCTTTGTATCCCGAATAATTCTTCTGGCAGTTATGGCTGCAATCTTTCTTGGTCTACATGGGCTTGGTATCAGGAGGTCCCTGAGGTTTTCTACTTCTTAGTGGAAGTAATGACTGGCATTTTCAAGGCTTTGGACATCTTTTTATGTCCTTTTCCATCTTTATAAAGTTCCATTACCTTATTACGCAGTTCTTTTCTGATCCCCATGGCTCAGTATCTAGCCTAGTCAGTGCTTCCACGTAAGAGCTAACAAACTCATTGACTATTTATACACTGACACTAATTGCAATATAAAAAGCCCCAGATGTGGGATATTAACCTCTAATTGGCATTTTAACCCGTGTGTGTCACCTTGTGTGTCTGTACCAAGGCCAAACATTCCAGGATATGTAAACTTTTGATTATGGCCATTTTGGGTGATTTCCTTTATCATTATGATTTAAAAAGGAGCCAAACAACTATTTGATAATAAATGGCTTCATATGTTTATCATCCTTTAATAAAAGAGCATTTTTTGGCATGATCAGTCATATTTTCAATATCAATGCCAAAATTTCACAATTTCTGCCAGGGTATGCAAACTTTTGAACACAATTGTAGATATCAGTGTGGGGTGGGAGTTAGAATGGTGCTCCCGGATCTGTGTGGGCTAAAGGAGATATAGGAGTGGTGGAAGGCTGACTGCACTGTGAGCGCAGTGAGGAGATCTGACAGTGAAGAGACGGTGGTTGTCCTCTGCTGATCAGAGCTATCCATGTGTTCAGCTGCTATAGGCTCATGGTCACTGAAGACCTGGCAGTGAAATGATTAGTATTGTCACCCTTATCTTAAAAATTACAACAAAGTCACCTTTAGAAATCCAGTTCCCATTAGTGCCTGGAAATCTGCCTGAAACTTGGTCTGCCTCCTGGAACATGTGACCGCGCACATCATCTGAGGGTGAAGGCACTGGTGATGTAGCTTTCCCAAGATGCATCTGTGAGGCCAGGACTATGTCACCAACAGACCTGCATGCTGATGTGATTTTTAGTGAAAGGGGGAAAGGTCCACTTTAAAGAATACATGGACTTTGAAGGTTGTGCCCAAAAAAGCAGGCAAGGGCAAATGACTTGTCACCTGCATTACCTGTGGTCTTCCTCCAGCTGATCTTTTCCTAATGCTCTCTTGTTACATAGTTAGTATGGCTGAAAAAAGACAAAAGTCCATCCAGTTCAACCAAAAAAAAAAAAAAAGTTATTCTATACCCACAGTTCATCCAGAGGAAAGCAAAGCATGATCCAATTTGCTCCTGCAGGGGAAAGAATTCCTTCCTGATCCCCCGAGACTTGCCAAGTTTTGTACTTCTCTGTATGGAAGTGACCATCTTGGCTAAGGAATAGGGCTTTGCTAGGCTCCCCTTTGAAAAATACTATGGGGTCGATTTACTAAAGCTGGTTAGTGCAAAATCTGGTGCAACTCTGCATGGTAGCCAATCGGCTTCTAACTTCAGCTTGTTTAATTGAGCTTTGATTTAAAAAAACACTGGAAGCTGATTGGTTTCTATGCAGAGCTGCCCCAGATTTTGAGTCCCTGGCCTTTTACGAGATAGTAGCCTTCATATTCTCAGTACAGGCAATACCTATAATATTTGTGTAAATCATGACATCGTGATTTGGAGAGCTTCTAAAGCCCTGGACATCACAAGAACAAGATACCCGTCATGGCAGATTATGAAATACTCTATGTTTAACCAGCTGTCCAAATAACCCTGAAGCCAAAATAAAGCAGCAGCCATTTGTAGAATCAGTGTTTTGAAAGAGCATATTGGAATTTTGTTTGCAGAATTGTTTTTAAGGTAATTAGCTTTGGTATAGAGGTAGAGGTGCATGGAGGTAGTTGTTTATATATTTTCATTGCAGAATGTACTTTGGAGAGATGATTTGCTCACCATAATTTTGTGTTTTTAAGAAAGGGTTTAAACTTTGCATTATTCATGTGAAAACCTGTCTGACTTGACTTTTTGTTTTTCTCGTGTTTCTCAAGTGTCTATTCTCTCCATTTTCACTGAGAAGCCCTCACATAAGTCATCCTAGACTTAGAACTTCAAAAACAAGAAGGAATTAAAATGATGGCAGGAATGTGTATTTTTACTTCTAAAAAACAACTGTAGTCTTATCAGAAGGGATTTTGGGGTCAATTCACTAAGAGATAAACACCATATGGATTTTCTTTTTAAATAACTTGTGGCATTTATCTGAAAAGTAGTCAATTCATTAAAAAGTATGTGTTATTCACTGTGTGTATTAAATATTTGTTTTGCAATAGTTAGTGTTTAAATTTTGCGTTATTTTTGGTGTTTTTTCACTTTGCCAGAAAGCACACAGCAATATTGTGAAGCTATGAAAACATAATAGCATGCTTTCATTCACAAAATGATCTTCCTCTGATGAAATGTTACAATTACCATTCCTGAGTTTTGAGAACATTTTCACACTGATACATTGTATACTTTTCAATTCCTGGCCAGTGCAGAGTTCTTCTAATTGTTGTTTTATACTAAAATACTGCTGGCAAACACCAGCTGGTAAATAATGTGTGTTTTTTAGTGAATTGACTTTTGTGATTTATCTCATGTTTTGCGGCATTTATCTCACTTTTATAACGAATGTGTGGTGTTTACCTCACATTCGATATTTTACTTTGATAAAATTACTTCATTATCTCATGCAATATTTCTGAAAAATGGGTCACGTGACCTTGATATCACATGCGGTAACCTTTATTGAATTGACCCCATTGTGTTTTAACCACTTCCCCTCCGCCCTATAGCAGAAATACTGCTACAGAGTGGTAGGGGTGTGCAAAATCACGTGTACATATACATGATTTTGCATTTCCGGGTACGGGGCGTGCGCAAGCCCTACCCGCGCCACCATTCTTGGCCTCGGCTGTGTCAATCGCCAAGTCACGCCCGGTGATTACTTGCTGGCACCTAGTGCTCGCCAAGTATCTCCGACGGGGGAGAGAGCAATATATATATAAACACAGATCTCTCCCGTCAGTTCCTGCACACTGCTTTGTATGGCTCTGCATAGCAGAACCATACAAAGCAGTGTGCTTACAGTGGAAAGCACACACACAGCACACTGTGAAACAGTACACAGTTAACCCTCTGATTACCCCACATGTTAAACCCTTCCTGCCCAGTGCCATTAGTACAGTGTCGGTGCTTTTTATTAGCGTTGATCACTGTATTGGTGTCACTGGGGATGTCAGTGACACCAAGTCATTTCCCCCCCCCCAGTGTCAGAATGCCTGCCACAGTCCCACTATAAATCGCTGATTGCCACCATTACTAGTAAAAAAAAAAAAAAAATCCAGTATCTATACCTCCATTTGTAAACCCTATAACATTCATGTAAACCAATTAATTTACACGTATTGGGATTTTGTTTTAGCAAAGACGTAGCAGAATACATTTTGGCCTAAATCTATGATGACATTTTATTTTTTTTTTATTTTTGTATTGGACATGTTTAATAGCAAAAAATATAGTTTTTTTTTCTCAAAATTGTTGGTCTTTTTTTGTATATAGCACAAAATATAAAAAAAATGCACAGGTGATCAAATACCACTGAAAGAGAGCTTTATGTATGGTAAAAAAGGATGTAAATTTCATTTGAGTGCAGCGTTGCATGACCGCGCAATTGTCAGTCAAAGTAACGCAAAAAATGGCCTGGTCAGGAAGGGGGGTAAATCATCTAGAGAGCAAGTGGTTAAAGTAGGACTAAAACCAAAACCTGACAGGTTATTTTATTGCTGTCTGTGTCCTTCTTTATTTGTGATGTTTACTGTTATCACCGAGAGTGAAAGTGAATGGAAATTCCACATTATGAGTGGTGACGGAACTGCAATAGAAGGGAATCTTCCAATGGAGAAACAAGTTCTGGTGATTACCGGGGATTTCTTCTTGCTTCCTGTTATGGGGACAGCACAGTGGCTAAGCGGTTAGCACTTTTGCCTAGCAGTACTAGGGTCATTGGTTCGAATCCCAACCCTGGCACCACCTGCCTGGAGTTTGCATGTTCTCCCTTTGTCTGCGTGGGTTTCCTCCGGGTACTCCAGTTTCCTCCCAAAGACATGTTGATAGGTGAATTGGATCCTGTCTAAATTGGCCCTAGTATGTATGAATGTAAGTTAGGGACATTAGATTGTACACTCCTTGAGGGTTAGGGACTGATGTGAATGTACAATATATATGTAAAGTGCTGCATAAATTGACAGTTCTATATAAGTACCTGAAATCATAATAATGGCTAAGTGAAGGGAAACTTCCATCATGGGACACAGAAGAGAAAAAATATGACGGGTTATAATCCTCTTATTCAATTGAAAAAAAAAAATGATCTTTAGTAAAGTGTGCGATACGTCAACACATTGCATTGCCTCACAGTGCAGACCAGTGCTTAAAGTGGAACTTCACTCTCTCTATTAGCATTGACTATTTTCAATGCTTATACCTTATTCCTATCTATTTACTAATACTGGCAGCATATCATTTTTACATTTCTTCAGTTATCTCCTGGTTTCATGCCTAAGCAAATGATGTCCCAGAAGTCTTCAGGAGGGAGGAGGGGTTTTCTCAGCTAGGCACATCCTCCTGCCTGCATGCATGAGCTAAGAGCAGAAGGATTCCAGGAAGTAAAAGCTACATGAATCATCTGCCCTTACTCAAGATGGCCACTGCTAGAAATGCTAAGGGGTGTTTTTCCAAGTGATTTCCCAACATAATAAAGCATAGAGACATGGATGGACGGGTACATTTGCTTTGAATATTAAAAATGAGTTAAATAGCATTGTTGGTTTGTGGTGTTTACTAGCAGTGAAGTTCCACTTTAATGCATGTGGACTGCTGTGGACAAGCCCCAAATGAGTTGCTATAATAATGAAATACATCCAGTTACCATTTTATTTACGCTCTGTAAATATATTTGCAGTGGAATTATAAGCAGGTCTCCCAACACGTGACCACTTTGCATCTGTGCTCAACTCCTCCTCCCAATCATGTTTCTGATGGTTTAACTTGCTGAAAATAGGAGTAGAACATAGGAAATGGAGCAGAGATTTTTTTTTCCTTAGTTTGGACATTGTTGTCTATGAGATGCTAAGGAAGAGTGGCCATAGACTGGAACATTTTGAATTTCAGCACACTAACACTTCATTTAAAGACCTGGGAACCAGACAGCCTTCTCATTTTCCCATTTCAATCCCTTCCAGTGAACAAACCTCATTCGGCAGACAAATGGCTGTTTCACTACTACAGACTTATCAGTATTGCAGACTTGTCCTGATGCTGGAAGGAGCATATGTAAAGCTTTCCATTGGCACTAAGCTGCATCATTCCTGATTGGCCCTTTCTGGAGGGGAGAGTGAATGAGAGAAAGCAAATGCTCTACATACAACTCTGATGTGTACAGGAAAACTATAGTTATCAGAAGATTTCAAGATTCCGACTGCTGTTTTCCCTGAAGCCTCAGCTGGCAGTGTATGTGGGTACCCTATAGACATTACATCAAGAGACTATCTGTGCCTGTGTGTGTGCATCTTTTTTAGTTCTACAATACATTTACAGACATTAAACTATTAGATTCCCAGATGGACAGAATTGTAACATTGTTAAATCTAGGTTATTTCTGCTGTCACCTGCATTAGTGTGAAGAGGGCACAATGGGAACAATGCAGAGAAATGATTCCCCACAATATGACTATTTACAGTTTAGTAGGATATCTTAGAGGAACTGCATTTTTTTATCAAATCTGTATACTGCATAGTTGACACCATGTTCTGATCTGCAGCCCAAAAATAAGGAATTACTCGATTTGGTTATGTGGCTGGCCTCAAACAATTCCGTTTCTCCACAAAGCATAAAAATGCTTCTAAATTTTAGATTATTCATGGTGGAAGTACACATGGCATTAGTTGTGGACACAGATAATGTCAACTAGATTGTCTACTGAAAGCTAAGCTCCTGGCTTCTAAAATATTCCTCATTGTATAGTCATTCCTCTGTCAATACACAAACTTTTTACACACGCCAGGCAAAAATGTTATGTAATAAAAGTTCACTTCTTACCTTATTGCAACAAGTTCCTGTTTTGTTCTAGAGTAAGCACCAACACAGTAATCATGAGCTCAATATTGTCTCCAGTATTTCCTTTTTGTACAATCGGTGGCTTTTGCACCCGCTATTCTCCCGCCACTTGTCATATACTGTATCCTCGGTAGTGGCACATACCTGTAATTACGTCGCTGCTCAGTGTATTGAGGGGAGTTGGGCATCTCAGACTCCATGTCTGAACCCCCCACTTACTATTGAATTTATGTCTATTGATTAACACCCACGTTAACTAATCCTGACAACACTAATGTGCATTCAAAACTAAAAATTCCCATTGCATGATGGGAACTGTAGTTTATGCAAGTGTCATCACAGAGTAAGTGGATGTGACGTATCAAAGGGTTTATTCCCTTCCTGGTGCCTGGTTGTAGCTGCAGTTTCACTTGTGACGTCACAGATTTTTTTTTTAAAAAAGTGTTACTAAACCCAGGACCCTGCACTCACTATATCCGGTCTCCCAACAGTGCACACAACATGGAAGTGCAATTATTTTAGTAAATGTAAACTGCTAAAACCTTTTCTCATCAGCAGTTAGATGCACTGATCGCTGCTGCTATGCTTTCCAAGCTCCAAGAAAATAAATGAAAAGTGGCAAAAAAAAATGGACATTTATTATTTAAAAAAGAAAAAAAAGTGAACTTATCCGCTAAAAAAAACTTCAAGATCCTGATAATCTTTGCATTTACAGATCCCTCACCCCAGGCTCACTAGATCACTGAGAAAGTGGTAATGAAAATACCTTGTGTTTCATGTAATAGAGGATTTTCTGCCCCAGTGATGTCATCATGGTCCATCAGAATAATGTGCTACTTCTGGGCCCTGGGAGGAGGACTTTCTTTGCCTACACTACATTTCCTGCAGTGCCTAGGGAAATACAGGTTGTAGCAGCTGTGTGTGGGCGGAGCTTGGCCTGAGCAGGCTTGTCATTGAAAGACACATCAGTAGTAGCAGTTCAGACCAGGAGTCTAAGACTCCCGGGTCCCCCACTTAAGTCAGCAGGAACATAATTACCTCCCTGCTTGCTGAAACAGAACTACAGCAGGGATGTTACAAGACTGGTGACCAGGGTAAAAGAGGTCACAGAGCTGCTTGCTCTGGGGGCACTCTTCCGTTTAAAGCAGAACTAAATCCTCCTACCCTTTACAGTCAAGGTTCTGTTTGATCTGCAGTTACCATGTTGCTACAAAGTGATCAGTTATGACACCAGCTATTTTATAGCTTGACAGTTCAGTTGAGAGCACAAGCATGCAATGTCTGTTGTCATTTATAGCATGCCTTGAATGTACCTGTTTTGGGGAAAGTAAAATCGATGGTTTTAGTTTGCTTAATGATCTGTGCTTAACTTTTTCAAGCAGGAGCCACAGGTGCTTTGACCCTTTCGCTGCCTGAGCGTGGATTTTTGGGGGTTTTTTGTTTACTTTTTTGTACATGTTCAAAAAAATATTTTAAGCCCTGACAATTGCATAAACCCCAAAGCATATATTTTCTGAAAGCAGACATCCTAAAGAAAAAAGTAGTAGTAGTTAAATGTTTTATATCATACAGTATTACCGCAAAGGTCAAGAAAATACTTTAATTTTAGGGCACACTAACGCAATAAATCACCCTTTTTTTTTGTTAAATATAAAATGAAGTTGCTGCAAGTAAAAAGATTAAATTAGCGTGCACCTGTGAAATGGTGACAAACGTCAGTTCCCTATATTTTCCATAGGTGACGATTTAAAAGCCCCCCCTCATCTGTTTGGTGTTATGGAAAAGGTCTGGTGTTAGAAATATTTCTCTCACTCCGTCATGCGCGGCAATATGTAACGTGTGTATCACAATCAACGTTGTGTAGGCACCCCTGATGTGTGCGTTTCGCATTTGTATGTATGTATGTGTGTGTATATGTGGGAGTGGGAGACCTCAAAATTGTTGGCAGGGGATTTGATGTGATTTGGGCGTAACAACAAATTTTTTACAATTTAATTTTTTTTTTACTTTTTTTTTTTTTTCTCATCACATATGTAACAAAGTCCCTTATGTGATGATTTGTTTTTAGTGACAGGTTTGCTTTGAGACATCAGAAACCCGGGATATATGGTGGGGGTGCACGGGGGGCCAGAGCCTGCCACCAGGGGTGTGCATGTAAGTAATCCAGTGGTTGCAGAGTCTGG